CTTTGCATAGTCTACACATAGCGAAGCAAGCATGGATCCTTGATCATGCTTTCCTGCGCGACATGCCCCTCAAAAAGCTGGAGAAAACGCCCAGACGCGACGTGCGCCGTGTCCCGATTCGTTCTGAGGGACCCATCCAGCCTCTGACATCTTTCCAACACCCAAATCCAACTCCAAGAAGACACGCTGCTCTCGCGGCACATGCGCGAGCTTCAGACTGGTACTCATGGGACTCCTTGGTTGACAATGCATGAAAGCACGATATAGCACCCAATTACCGTGAGAATGGGACAGTCCCCAAAACCAGCAGGTTAGATTATTGATGTTGCATGTGCTTCGTGATGTCGCATTCCAACAGGATCAAATTCAATCATCCAAATTCAGTCCGCCTCGTCTCTGCCTTCGGCATCGATTGAGAGGATCGGTGCATCTATGCATCATTGCATCACCCAGACTGTGAACTAAGTCCCGGTCAATACATACTTGGCATCCTTCAGGCTACCCAAATCTCCACAGGACAGCTGCAGAGAGAAGCCATCGATCCTGACGTTGAAAACCACAAATCTGCAATGCTATTCAGCGCGAGTTCGACACGTTCAATTGATTGCGCACTATGAATTGAAATGCCTACAAGGAACAAATGATAACGCCTTGTTCAATTACTATATTCCATTGCTATTCACAGCGAGATCGAAATGTTCGACACATAAATTGAGCGGGGTTCTGACATTGAAAGGCTCATGGCAGCGACATTGGGATCCCAATCCCCATGTGACGAAATGAGATGTTCAAAGGGAGCAGGGCGGTGTGGGCTCCACTTCAACAACTGAGTGGGCTCCACCAAAATGCCCAACAGGGGAAGGCCGAAGAAGTTGGACCCGTTTGCAGCTGGGCACTGCAGTCGTCCCCGGAAGTGACAGAGGACCCAGAAACCCGCCGGTAAATGGGCTGGCCCAGAGATGCAAGCGATTGAGATGTCAGCATTTAGGCTAGTAGCGGCAAACACTTGGCTACGCTGGCAAAGCAAACAGAAATAGTCATAGTTGCCACTTCTGCAAAATCTCTCAGCGGTGCACACAAACACCAGCAACTGTCGTCCTCATCACCTTGAACATCGAATCGTCTGCCTGGGACTTGGATCAAAGAATGCACCGTTTGGGATTGGCAATTGAAGACCTAGCATTCTGTTTGTGACCGCTTCAGGCAAGACACAATCTGGACTACTTCGTCGTTCACGGGCTCCTCCAGCGTTTGCAAGTCTAGTTTCTGTGCGTGTCTGTGTTGGGACTTCGAATCATCCAAGGTGTTTTTGTCCATCGTCACCCCAACGTCTTTCCAGGGTCTGCCAACGACCCGTTCTTCGACTGTCGCATGTCGCATGTTCTTCGACTGCTGCGACTCTTTTGGGCTCCTGAAAGGACTCGTCAGTGGAGAGCACCGCCAAATTCCTTGGGTGTACCCGAGTATAAAGCTATATAATTAGTCCCAATGGGGTTGAGGAAGAACACGACAGCAAAGCCAATTTTGGCCAGAAGACGGACTAGGGACAAAGCCGAAACGGAGGGGGAAGAAGATTGCAAAGTGTACGTGCCGTAGAGTAGGTTGAGTTGTCATGGGCGGGTGAAACCACGCACACGCGAAAGTTGGAGTTAAAGAGGGTGAGATGAGACCTGGATGAGTAAAAAGTGAGACAAAACAAGGGACGTTAACCGCGACAGACCCTTAATTTTGTTTCTGAAGAATGTATATAAAGTAGTGTTTGAAGAATGGACAATAGTTTCTGAAGAAAGGAAAATAGTTCTGAAGAGTGCAAAATAGTTTCTGAAGAATGCAATAAGTTTCTGAATAATGTAAAATAGTTTCGGAAGAAAAGTGTCGATTCATAATACAGTAGGACTTTGTTCATGCTAAACACGAAGTCCAATGGGTTCTTGTTTTCTCAGCACTCTGAAAGGTATCCAAACACGCACTTGCTTTCGTCTTATCATTCTCTTCGCTTCAAGAAAAAACAAAGTTTGAGCTCCTGTGACAATCGAAAGACTACGCAACCACACTGAAAAGGCTGCTCTCACTCGAAGGATGGCTGCCCATCCCGTGGTCTACAGTTCTGTTGCAATCTGCGAGTCAAGTGGCTGAAACTGGGAGAAACACATGGGTAGAAGCACAAAACACCCACGTTGCATCGTTTTGTCCCAAGCTACGGCAGCTTCAGGCTCGTGGCAATTCCCAAGGCTTTGCTGCTAAAGGAGACCTCAAGACACGTTGCGATCACCGTATCACCTGCCACAGATCACCTCGAAAAAGCTCCGTTCATAGCGTCCTTGCTCCTACAGTAGTAGTATGGCCAGGAGCCCCTAGTAGCTTCTTGCTCCTAGTAGCGATGCCCTTTGCTCCTAGTAGCGTCCTGGCCAAAGTGGTTTCAGTTTCACCACACTTTCAAACACACGGACACCCCACTGACCTCTACATCTTTGATGGAGACGGTGACATTGTTGATGAACCTGCCAGGACTTGGTTGAGTGTGGCACTGGCACTGCAGTTGAACTCGGATATGTTTGGATATGGGTATTACGGTATGGACGCTCTGGTTCGGGGATCGGGTGCACGGCTGCCGAACAAACGACCGAGGAACCTCCGAGAGACCCCAAGGAGAGCGACAGGACACCCAAATCTGCCATCACAGAGAGAGAGAGAGAGGCTTCTAAACAGGTTGCCCAATGGTTTCTTCACTCTGAAGAAGCAAAAGCCTTGTAAGAGAGCCCTTTGGTTAATTGGTGACCTGACTACGATTCTGACCATTCTCCCGCTCAGTGCGCCTTCGAGCCACCTTCATGCCGAAGCCCTCATCTGTCCCAGCCACTTTTTCAGCGGCCTGCGCTTTGAGAATGCACACCAACAAGATTCACAAGGATGTTGAATGATCAACGATGATCAACGCTGAAAAGTCGAACGCAGTGCCTTGCGGCGCTGCTCCAGCAGGTTGCGGACCTGATCAGGCCGGAAGTATCCAAGTGGGACGGGTCCTACCTTCATGGACTCAGCCTCTCTTGCATCAGCCATGTTATAGGCGTGGAAGAGATGGGGGAGTGCTACTTAGACTATAAGTCAATGCTCGAAGCCCTGGGGCTGAATCGCCTCGAAACGTGCTTCTCCCCCTTTCGGGCGCCTGTTCCACCCGCAAGTTGATGGCCTGCTGCTTCGCCTCAGAGCGGCCCAGGAGGTTGCTGCTGAAAACGACAAAACAAAACAAAAACGTCGCCTCTGCCCCCGGAGAAAGTGGACTCGCCCCCCAAGGAACGTCGAAAACGCCAAATAAACAATAAACAACATGTGTTTTAAACAAATGCCTAAACTACATCCTGTTACTATGCGTTTGTTTGCACAGCAACTTGCCATCGAACCTTGGGCCTTGCCACATCCGCAGAGCTTGATGCACTCTTATGCAGCTTTGGTTTGAGTGCCCCTTCTCAATGGGAGATCCTAAGGGGCCTAGCGAGGACGAGCAAGGACAACCAAGGACAAGTCACTTCGCGCATGGATTGGATGAGCTCCTCTTTCGATCGGGACTCCGCCATTTGCTCCACCTAATGGCACGATCGACCACTGTGATCGATGGCAACTCCATAAACCCATCAAACGCTGGAAGAAGGCATCCAAAAAAATCCAAAATCTGTACTTGATCGTGCTATCATGATTTCGTCATGTCATAATCAACTACCTGTCTCGCTCACCAACCTCCCTCTCTCTCACCTACCTTGGTCGTTCCACTGATCCCCAATCACTCGCCTCGATGTGAATTCCACTCACCTCAAGGCTCACCTTCCCACTGGCCAGGGAGGACCATGGGATCACCAGCCTGGCGCATCGGCTGATCGATCTTGCTTCTTCGCCGATCGCTCGCGGGAGGCGGAGCGATTCGCTTCGTTAAACATACCCTATTGTCAAAGTACATGGCTTAGGTTTCCGGAATGAGCCATCTGTTCTGAAAATGGTGTATTTAGACATCATGTACCATGAAGATACAATAACCAAATGATACAGGATCATGATGTTGCACTCACTTCCTGAAAATCCCAAGCACCTGCCCCGGCCCGCACCTGATCAGATTGATGTGTCCCTTCTCGACGCGGAACCCTGGAACTCCCAGTAAAGCGAGCACCTGACATCATCACAGGTAACTCATGGTCAAGGTTTCGGCATAAAAGCTAAGACTCCGTGAAGGCAGGTGTTGCAATCCCACAATGTCATCCTCTTAGCATGATTCTTCTCCTCCCTTTTTCCAGCTTCGTATACCCAAAAGATCAAGATCAACACCGCAGAAAACGCAGTGTAGAAAAGGGTGGTTTAATCGTTTAAATTCGAAGCATCTGACGATGCCGCACCCCGCCGCACTCCGGCCTCTGGCTTCACTTTCAACTCTTTCAATTCGATGAGGCCATTCCAAATGCCTCAGCCAACTTTCCGCGATCCCCCAACCACCTTGGAAGGAGGGAGCGACCCCCGGCTGAGGCTCCGAACCTTTGTGCAGGGAGCCCAAACGGATTCCTTCCAAGTAGGGGTTCAAGCACCTCAGTCGCAAGAATGCTGGGTTTGCCTTTTCCCTTACAGTAACTTTCTTGGAGTCATTGTGGTGATTCTTTTGCACCCATGAGCTCAACAAGAACATGTTTGTTCTTCCAAGTCAAGGGGCAAAGCCACACCTGCTACAAACCTCGACAAGGCACAGGAGAATCAGTTGCTCTAAGGCTTCCTGGAACATGGCAGTCTCTTGCTGCAGGACCAGGTAGTCGGCTGGCTTTGACTAATCAGTGCGTCTTTTCCTTTGAGCCCGGAAAATGTCAGGCAGCCGGGGGCAACATCCTTGCCTTCCTTGCCTGGTACAGACCAGCACAGAACAGTGGCAAACCAGGCAGCCATCATTGCACTTGAAATTTCATCTGTCTGATAACATTTAAAAAACAACAATACAAAACCAAAAAAAGACTCCCCCTCCGTGCCACCTTCGCCTGCACAAGCCCCAAGCGCCAGGCCCGAAGCGCCAGGCGCTGTTGGCGCCGATGGTGCAAGGAGCTCAAGCGCACCTAGGCGGGATGGATTTTTCCAGTCATTTAGCAATGGAGGTCATCGCTACTAGGGTGGAGGCCATCGCTATTAGGTTCCTTTTGCTACTAGGTTGGAGGCCATTGCCATTATATAGGTGGGATGGATTTCTCCAGTCACTTAGGTTGGGCACTGAAGACTGGTGAGGCGAAAAAGGTTCCACTCGTGTCCATCCGTCATTCGCTCTAGGGGGAGTCTGTGGTCCTGCCAATGACTACCAGCGGTGTATCGAGTCAGCAAATGATGATGATGATGATGATGATGATGAAAATGATGATGATGATGATGATGGTGATGGTGATGGCGATGGAGATGGAGATGGAGATGCTGATGATGAATACTTACATCCCACAGTCTGAAGACGATGTCACTAAGCTGTCAACATCTGCACGTTGCTGCCCGCACTTTTTCATGCGTCTTACGCTTGCCACACAGGTCAAGCAGCATCAGCAATGTCTGTACAACCTTGAGCCACTCATTCATGGGCGGCGTCCCTTTGAGCTTCGTCTGGCGCACCGAGAGCCTTGTCCCCTTGGACCTGACATGGCCTGTGCTACTCATCGAGAACGTCCAAGCTTGGAGTCTTGACCGAGTTTCGAAAGTCCTGGCAGGACTGCTCAAAACCAGCTCGTCAAAGTGAACATGACGACCGGGATATGCTGAATATATTGATACGCCAAAGCCACCAGCTGTGCCCATCAAGGCTTGGAGAATCCATGAAAACCCATTTGTTTGTCATCTGTGTCTGAAAAACCGAGCTTGAACATTCACCCCCTTCGAAAGTCTCCACACCCTCTGGTCACCTTTGGTCCGCTTTCCAGCCCAATCATTCCGCTTTTCAGTCCATTCGATCCACCCAGCCTCGATCGTTCTCTCTTAAGGAATTGCTTGAGGAGCAGAAGGATCTGGCCCGGAACCAAGGAGCAGAAGTCGAATCGGTTTTGGACTGATGGGAAGTGAATGGACATGAAGATCATGAAGGCCCGAGGCCAACCGTGGAAATGACTTTGAGACCCCTTTCGGATCTCTCAGTACTTCCACACTCCACACTCCACCTGCCATTGGTGCACGCCCATCACTTCAGCCCCAAGCACTTTAGACCAAAACCGTTCACATGAGACAACATCACAAGTCTCTCACACACATCTCACTGTATATGTGTGACACACTCACGTCTCGGCGCAGTTGTGAAGGCCCGCCCCACGGACGAACCACGAAGCCCGCCGCCTTCAGGATCCCAAGCGGTGGACACCACGCCGCCCGCGGGCTTGAACTCGGAGACGCCTCGACGACTCGAAACCGACTCGAAACCAAAGAAGAGGGGATGAGACCACTCACTGTCCAAAACTCTCTTTTGGGACAAGAAGGAGGACTGCAATCTTGAAGTCCAGCAAAACATCATGCGTGTAAATGGCCTGTGAGCCCGCTTCATTCTTCTGGGCGACATCATCTGACAAGTGGACGCCCTTGGTTTGTGGATGGTGAGGCACCGCCGCCTTGTCTAACCTCACAGGGGCAAGTCCAGCTTTCAGGAAAATGCCAGTCCAGCAACCAGCAACAGCTTCTCTGAGCTCTACAAGTATATTATACTGGTCCCCAATAAGATGGGACTAGTGCAACGTACTCACCGTACCATCTCACTAGTACCCAGTATATACTGGAAATCCATGACAACCCACAGCAAATCAGAATAGCTGGAGTAACATGGAGCAACCATCCAAGTCGCAGGTGTCTGCCTTCTGCCCCTTCCCCGAGTGTTCTGTAAAACGAGGATGGTTTGCAAGCATCTGCGCGCATTGACGTTCTCCCTCCAAGATGAAAACAGGGGCGTCACAAGGGACATTGACATTGATTACAATGAAATCGAGGTATCGCCGGGTCAAACTCACATGGAATGATCGACCAACAGCGAGCAGCTCGATCTTGTGGCAAAGGCACAGGATGTTGAGCTGCTCGATGGTCTCACAGATCTTATTGCAGTCTTCTTCACTCAAGGCTCCACCCATTCGTCGGTTCTTCTGGACATGGTCGCCCAAATGGAAGACAGCAGAGGCAATCCTGACTTGGCGGACAGGATAGTCACTTATCAACATGAGAGTTTGGTCTGGGAGATTCATATATATATATATATCATTGCAACGATATTTGTGTATATATATATATTATACTGTAATTGTATATTCTTGTATATCATTGTATATCGTGTAATTTTCTATGGTGTACTTTCCCCGTCTCACAAAGCAACAGCGAGCAGCGAGACAGAGCCCGGTTGGAATGATCAGAATGATTGCATCCTGCTTGAGTGAACCATTGATTCGATTTCAAGACACAGAAGCACAGGTGGAGAGTGGCATTAGCATGTATTTATTAGCCGCATTGGGCCGTATTGATTATATGTATTTAACACGATTCAACCAGGTATGTCACCTATATAGTCGACCATGATTGTCGCCATGTCTCATGTTGTAGATGGTATCCACTCGTCTTTCTGCCTTTGGCCGTATAGAGAACTCAATCTCCGGAATCTCCACCTGTCCAACGACTGCAGGAGACGGCTCCGCTCGGGACTGGCGAAAGCCCAAAGCCCACATGGATGAATCTTGCAAAGCCATCATCGATCATCATCGTCTTTTTCAAGGTCTTTTCTTGGGTTCTTCAAGATGTTTCGAGACGTTTGCTGCCCTTGTGACAAGGATGGTTCGAAGTCTTATTCCCATAGTATCGGTGACCTATATAGTCGCCAGCTTTGATCAGCCAGCCAGCCAGTGATTTGTCCAGGGCATACGTCCCGCGAAGGCACGCGCGCGTCCGCACGTCCGCACCTGTGCGCGGGCTCCCTGCAGCACGACGCGCCACAAGTCTTCCCGTTCAGAAACAGTGAAGGTGAGGCACTTCCCGTCCCTCGACCCAAAGTGGATGAACCACGGCGGACGCGACAGGACAGCTCCTTGAAGGGTTATCAACATGGTGAACGGGAAAGGAAACATCGATGAAACTGATGAAACCTGCTGAATTTGAGACAAATCTTCATGCACCCACATCAGGCACGGTGGAACAGTTGTGGAACGGTTGGCCCTCCTCAAGAATCTGTGACCTAGGGGCCCTGAATGGCAATGATTCTTGTCTTGTAGACACCGTCTTGATCAAATCGATAGAAGGACCGGAAACAGAAACTTCTGCAGATCGTCAACATTTGAGAATCCAGGGCGCTACTCGTAGCTCCTGGCATTACTACTAGTAGCAAGAAGCTACTAGGGGCTCCTGGCCATCATACTACTAGGAGCAAGAAGCTACGAACGGAGCAAAGGGCATTCACTCTCCGCCACTCTCCGCCGACCCTTCGCGGCTCCGTCGGCTCCAAGTTGCACTAGCTCCTCCGTCGGCTCTGGCCGCATCACAGCACGGGCTTCCCCCTCAGCAGAGGGACGAAAGCCAAAGAATTGGTCCCTTGAAGACTGTCCTTGTTGGACAAGTGTTGGTATCTGTGTGTACCTGTGGTAACAAGCAAAATTCTTGAAAATCCATGAAAATCCTATACTGCAAAATCATGGAAATCCTGTTATATAAGTGTTTCTTTCCTGAGACTCTTCCAACTTGTGCCTCATCGCCATAGCGAACTTCGAAGTGAGGGAGGGCTTCGAGGAAGTTCACCAGGGGACATCCAAGTGCCTGGCTCGCTTGGAACTTGTTGATCCAGTCCAGATCCAAGCTGCCGGGACAGAAGCTCGTTTGAGAGTTAGTTCGTACTTCTAGGTAAAACCTGGAACAGCATAAATATTCCTCAGAAGAATCTGTTGATGATTGTTAATGCTTCTTCATATGCTTTCATCCAAATCAGCTTCAACTACACCCGTCGTCGGCTGTCCAACCACCTCCTCAAGCTCATCTTCGTCGTGGCAAGCCATGGTGCAGAAAGCATCGATGCGGCATCGGTTTTCTTCAGCAAAGACTATCAAAGTGAACGTAAGCACCGATCTCTTGGATCATCCCAGTCTTCATGAGCCAGACATACCTCACGCTGCCTGACCTACCTCTTCTGGTTCCACCAGCACCAGCTGGACCATGCCTCGTATCCCAGCGTAGCGCAAAGATTGTAGCCGAGGCCCGAGATGGCCACTGCATAGTCTTCGCCTGAGCCGAGAAAGAGATCTTCCGCCGCCGGATTCAGGGGAGCGCGAAGGGCGGGGCATTTGAAATGCCAGTTCCACCAAAAAGCACATCTGACCATGGTCTTGGACCGTTGGCAAGCCAGTGTTGGACATTTGGAAATTGTTCCGTGGAAGTGCTCATTGGGAACATCTCCCACAGGTCGCTAGGCATCACGTTGAAGGTCTTGACTTTCGTCTCAGGTGCCTTTCTTTGAGCCTTGTCACTGACACCCACGTGGATGGCGCGGAAAATGTCTTCGATCTCATGCACAAACTGGGCCATCTCCTGCATGGTTTTCCAAGTGATGAAAAGAAAGTTTCTTTGGCTCGCTGAGTCTGACTATAAGATCATCTCCTCGTCCTTGCACCAACCACAGACCCCATTTGACATAATACGTCCAACCTGGCCATCTTACCTCGATCGTGGTCAAAAAACATTGGGATCTTCCGCCCATTGGGATCTCCCACCTCTCCTGATGACTCAAATCGATTCGAAAGGGCTGGTTCTCTGGCTCAACATCGGTCTCATTCGGAGCATCCTCGCTGCTGGATTTGCTGGATGATCACATCAACATATTATGTGACATAGACATAGTTTTCAAGCAAAAAATGCGCGTACCTCGTACGTCGTTTCGGTTCGTTGCTAAGTGGCCCAAAGAGAGAACTCATCCGACAAATTAGATAAAGCTAAGGGCAAAAATGCCAAAAAAGAATGAACAAAAGGGCGTGAGAATCAAGAACCATCCACGCTCCGTTGAATGACATCTAGTCGCATTGGCTTTAAAATTTGCAGTGTTCACCCACTAAGGGACCAACCCATCCATCTACCCCAT